GGAGATCTTGCTTCTATTCCTCTCTGCCGGGACAGTGTAACTGCTTGGGTCTACCAGTCTACACCTTGCACCACCCGAGCAGCTCAACCTAAAGGGTTTCTGTCCAAGATGCCGATGAAGATAAACCCTAACCTCGTCCTTTGGGGCGTCCGCATGGGTTTTATGTCCTATGGATGGGACGCAGGTGTTCTAGGAGGAGTGCTTCTGACGCCGTCCTTTCAGTCTGCCATGAAGGTCTCTGTCATCAACATCTCAACGCGATCAAGTCAGCTGACCATGAATACAGGCACCTGATGCGACCACAACCGCTATGATTGTGGCATCATTCCTCCTAGCATCATGGCTAGGTTGTGTAATCGCAGCCTTGCCCTGGAGTGATCGATTTGGTCGTCGGATTTGGGTTATGGCTGGTGCTGTTGTTCAGATCATCGGTACCATCATCTCAGCTTCTTCGTTTTCCGTCGGCCAGCTCATTGCCGGTCGTGTCCTCATCGGTGTCGGAAATGGCTTCGTCGTCTCCATTGGCCCAATCTACGTCGCCGAAACCACCGGTGTAGTCAAGCAGCGTGGCCCTCTCGTGGGTATCCTCATGGGCTTCGCATGCGTTGGTACCGCCTGTGCCTACTGGATTGATTTCGGATTCACGTACGCCACGGGCCAGGTCGTGTGGCGCCTCCCTGTTGCCTTTCAAATCATCTGGTCGCTTCTCTGCATCATTTTGTGCTTCCCTAACGCCGATTCACCGCGCTGGTACTTCCTCCAGAACTTGCCGGACGAGGGCAAGGCTGTGCTCCAGCAGATATACAACGACAACGCGCACTCGGAAAAGGTGATGAATGAAATCCAGACGGAGCTCAAACAAGAGGTCAGCGAGAAGTTACGATTTACCGACTTCTTCTACGATCAGTCAGAAACAAAGGCTGCGTCGAGGATCAGGGATGGTGTTATCCTTGTGGGTGTCGCATATCTCATGGGCATCAACATGATCTTCTACTATATGACGACCATATTCCAGGTCTATATCGGGTTGGAAGCAACCACGGCTTCCGTGTGCTCTGGTGCATCAACTACGCTTCTGGCTATCGGCGCCTTCGTCGGTTCTATCTTCTGTGAAAAGGGGGGGCGGAGAAAGTGGCTTCTCTGGGGCTCCGCTCTGCAATCTGTCTTCATGATCGCTTTTGTTGCTCTTTTGGCAGTTGGCACCAAGGCAGCGAGCTCCGCTGCTGCGGCGATGCTTTTCGGTTGGATCTTGGTCTTCAGTCCCACCTGGGCTCCTCAGCCAGTAAGTGCGCTTTGCTCTTCATTTGATTCTTTCAATCAAGACCTGAGCTAACTGGCGTAGTACATATACGTCTCCGAGACTATGCCTCTTCGCCACCGCCACACGGGTGTTGGCCTCGCCATGTCGGCACAATGGCTCATGGCCTTTTTGACTGTTTATGCCGGTCCAATCGGCTTCGAAAACGTGGGTTGGAAGATCTGGGTATGGTTTGCCGTCTTCAACGTCATCGGCTTCCCCTACGTCTACTTCTTCCTGCGCGAGAGCCGTGGTCGCAGCCTGGAGCATATGAATGAGCTCTACAATGAGAATTTGGCCGTCGGCAGCGACACCGCGAGTCCCAGTGAGGGAGACGGAAGTGTGAAGGCTCAAGAAAGCATTGTGAATCAGAAGGTCTAAGAGGCATTTGTGCATGGGTGTGTTGCGAAAAATATCACGAAGTAATGTGGCGATGGGGCGGACATGGTACGGTGTTGAAGGCAGTAGCTCACAGCCTGACCTTTGCAAGAAGTGCCAGTCAACCATCAACTTCTTCCAAGCCTTCTTGATAAACCTTTCATCGCTCTTCAGTCCTTACGGATTGAAATCACGATGATGCTACTGAAGATGCTCGCACTAATAGTAATCCGAATCCGATGCATCTTCATCATCTTTCTCTCGTGCCTTTTCTGCTTTTTCGCAGGCTATGCTGCAAAACCACGTCTCACCTTGTACTGGTGTGATGACCCTATTTACACACGAAAGATGAAACCATCCACGTGGACATGTAGCGTTGTAACATACTATCATGTCTTCAGTGTCTTTCTCGTGACATGAACAATGTCGAGAGACTTGATTCGCTTCCTCTGAGGCAACGTTCTGCCCACATATGAATTGCCTCAGCTCTTGGGCAAGTTCTGGATGGCAGTTTGACCAGATCTTTGTTATGATCAACTCTGGAGTCAACGCTTCGGCTGAACCGTCTCTAAGATTATCGGCAATCTCGGCAAGGCTGCACATAGCGTTCATATTCTGGAACAGGCTCGCGTTCACTCGGTTGGCGAGTGCCGGGTCCATGCTTATGCCTGTGCCTCCGATGATCTTGTCCATAACGATATCGACATAGCCGATGCCGACGTCAGAATCAGATCCAGTGTCGAGAACCCTCTCATCGACCCGGGGTTCCCCTGATATAATTTGTTTTTCCAGGGGCGTCGGTTCGGGGACGGCAGATACTTGGTCTGGCTCAAACATTGCCCTATTGAGGTCAGACTGTCGGTAGGTTCACGAATTGCCATATCGGGACTGACCTTGGATTGCCCTCATGCCCTGTAATGGAGGACTTAACCTTGAGTCTGAAATTTCCTGATTTTCGTATAGTGCGCCTAGGCAACTTGATCGCTGATTCATGCACAGAAGCTACGTGGGCAGAGAGACTTCTTTGGTTGCGATATGGTGGATACTGACATCCTGCGAAGCTGCAGCGAAAGCCTCCAGCATGACATACCTCATGCTCCTGGCGCAACTGCTGGTTTTTGAAGCCTATGGTAGCGCGCGGACAAGATCTTAGTCGGCACGTATACGCAGACGTTCGAAATTGGCTCTTAAATAGCTCGAGCTCTTTGGCGGACGCCCCTGGACATGAGTCCTGTCCGAGAATCGTTTCTACGGTTTTCTGGTAGAGGTCCAATGCAGCGGAGATTCCGTCCTGATGAACGAAGGTCTTTGGTACACCACTAGCAGGCCCAGCTGACTTTGTCAGCCTCCTTTCAACGGGGAAGCTTGATCTTACCAGGTCTACTTACTTGTTGCCTGAAGCTCGGACTCAAAGCGTTGTTTGGACCGAGCGAAAAGTGATCTCTCCATATGCTTGCGCAAAGACCCGTACCCTTCAAGCAGAGCCAAACGATCATCTTTAATATCAATAGTAGCCTTTGGCAATGGAAATCCGAGAGGGCTCGTATCTTCAAGTTTGTCAAGTACATCGGCGAGACGAGTGGCTACTTCCACGAGTCCTTTCTTGAGACCGCCCGTAGTCCTCGCATTCGCGAGCAGGTACTCAGTCCAATATTCTGTGGCATAGACATGAAAGCCATGAATCCCTTTGACGAAGCGCAACATTTTCTTTTGTTCGTCGTACGACTCGTTCATGACTTGGAGGCCGGAGAGGAGGCAACTGACGGCCGCAATTCCATGTTCATTCAGCGATTCCTCTTCTCGCAAGATTATCGCGCTTGATGACGTTTGGAGGAAACTAATTCACGTAATCCCATCAGTCTTATAGGCACTACTTGAGATGACGATGAAGTATAGCAATATCGCTACCTGGGTTACGTATTTCGGTATGGGCGCATTTTGGGGGCTTACTGTTTCACTGACACATGAATGAATGTCAAAGAACCATCTCGTCTTTCTTCAACAAGAGAGCTGCAAATATCTTCGACCACGTATCTTGGTACTAGTCTGGTCAGATTGTAATTACCGGAGGTGAAAGATAGTGCAGAAAGAAACTCGAGCTTTTTCAGTGGTCTTTTGGCGAACGCTATCCACCCAAAGATGCATCTCACTCTTTCTTGAGACTGTTCGTTCAAGCGAGCAAGGATCTGATATAACAGCTTCTGGTAGCTAAAGATATCTTCAGCTTCGAGTTATGGAACATTGGCAAAGGCGTACTTACAACTCGTTCAATGTCGCAGGTAGCTGATTGATCGCATCTCTCAGCTCATCGCCAGTGAAGAAGATGTTCGCATTGATATAATCAAGCACCAGACGAGCATACAAAAACATACCTAAGGATTCTTAGGATTTCTTCGGCATTAATCGATGGAGCGACTGACCGCTGGCTTTTTGGGAGACTAGTTCCTCCATAGCCTCAATTTCATGCGCCTCGAGCTCTAATTGCTGCAACTTTACATGCATAGAATCTAGTCTCCGAGAGACATACAGCCGAATTGCGGAGAGGAGCGGACTTTGTTCGTCACTAAGGTAGATTACCTGCTTTCTTTTGGTTTTGAGGAAACCTCTGACGTTCGGTGATGGCCTTGTTGTAAGGAGCACCTTGCAGGTCACTCCATGATTGGATGCAGGGAGAGATGATATCTGGTTCATCAGGCTGACCAGACGCGCCTGCTTTTCGTTTTCACACTCATTGATCCCATCGATAATGATCCAAATCCACAACGGCTCATGTGGTTCGTCCGACAGGGCGGTAATGAGCGTCAAAATGAGTCTCTCCAAAAAGATTGTACTGGCCTGTTTCTTACCCACGATGCACTCCTGGTAGACATGTGCAGTGAGCTCATCACTATTCAGTAGGAGTTGTCGGATAATCGATTTAAGAACTCCCTCGTATCTTGTCGACGATGGGAAAGTATAGGTGCAGAAATGACAAATGACACGATTCGTGGATGGCGCTTTCACTGCTGTCAATTGCAGGAAATATACGAGCTTGGCTGCAATTACGCTTTTTCCACAGCCTGGATTTCCCTGTAGCCACAGAAAGGGCTGTTCGGGTTTGGCTCTTAACCAAAGTTTGATTTTCATGTCCTTGCTTAGCCATGAACACGTCCCTGGAAACTTCGCTTCTTCATCGGATATCGCTTCAATAATTTGACCCTGTTCTGACTCATCGACTTTGAGCCAGGAGAGTATAGATGTATACTCCCTAACAGCTTGCTGCTTCTCTGCTAGAATGATACCATGAAGGCTCTTTTCTCTCCAATCAGTATGCTGCTGACGCAAATCAGCCATAGCGGCGATGCTGAGAGCATTGGCCTCCTGGTCAACAAGCTGTCCATGATACTCCAGATCTTGGAGTATGTTGTCGAAGCGCCTCTGAAAGCGACCCCATGACGTCAGGAACAGAAGTTTCCACCCTGAACACATAGATTAGTAATGTGTGTAGCTACTTTTCAGGAAGGAATCAGACTGGACTTTGATTTTTGCGAAAGATTACGGTCACAGGGAATCTAGGGTTTGAGCTTACCCGGACGTCGGACGAATCGGTACGCATGAATGTGGTATTGGAGAATATCTGCATAAAAGACAGCGAGTATCTGCTGGAATCCAGGTTCAGCAATGAATGTGTCGCTGAGGATTTTGAATCGACCGAGTGCATCTGCGATCTTGGTCTCCCGTTAGTCTCTTTGTACATTTCCTCCTACGTGAATGATCAAGCTGTAGAGCGAAATTTATCAAATCTTCTGATAGGCTGGGATTGAAGGTACCGTCGAAACAATGGACAACGATGACGTTTTGCTCCGCTGCGTGGGTGTATTGTAATGAAGTTCGACTAAGCCAAAGAGAAAAATACATTGTCCACATCTTACCCTACTATATCCTTTCATAATCTGCTGGAAGCTCTCCATATACTCCGAGGCCACTCTCAGGATCAATGTTATTGGTGCCCATATCCAGGGCAGAAACGGTGTGCCATTGCAAAGAACATCGACGACTCTAGCGTAGTGCTCTAAGCCTCTTAGCAAAGGCTCCAGACGACGCATGTTGCAGAGTGCTTGTCGTACGGCTAATTGCTTCTCTATGTCGAGGGCTTCGATTCGAACATGCTCAACTTCTACTGAGCGGAAGGCCCCTGAATCTGCTGGAGTCACCGTTCGCTCGAGCTCCTCGAACGCGACGTTCATCGTGCGACGGGCTAACTCTGACACTGCTGGAGCCAGAGGCATGGTGAACGTCTTTGAATATGAAGCTATTGCGTGAGATCAAAACCGCAAATACTTAGGGAAATCGCGCAAAGAAGACCCAGGTGGTGTCATATCGAAGTTATCGTTTTAGAGCAGGGGCTTTGGCTGACGCATTCACTACGGTACAAAACCGGTTTACAGTAGCCATATTTATCTAAAGTAGACCACAAAGTAGTTTAAGTATAAGAAGTAAACCTAAATAGGGTTTACTATACTATATATTCTATAAAGGTAAACTACTTTTTAGTTTATATATTATTAGTATTATATATATTAACTTTAGTGTCTATTTAAATATAGTTTATATAATATACCTAATTATAGGTTTTATAGTAGATAGATATATAGCACCTAGGGGGGAAATTTAGTGTAGATAAAGGGTATATAGTAGGTATAATTTAGTAGGGTTACTATACAGGAACTAGTACTAGTAGATACCTAGGTAGTATAGGCGTGCAGTATACTACCACCTAGGTACGCTATAATAATAACTAAGAGACTAGGTAGTATACCTTGTATATAAAATTACAATCTAAAATATCCTATAATAATAGGTTAGTAAGTTCTATAAAGGCGCCTATTATAACAACACTCCTATATTATAGTATAGTAGTATTACTAAAGATTATACTCTATATTATAAATATTCTAGGGCAAGTTAGTTACTTATACTATATATATTATAGGTTTTTTAGTAGTATATTAGTTTAAAGTTAGGTATATATATATATTATTATATATACTATATTATATATAGTAGTAAAGGGGTAGTATAATATAGTAAGCTTATATAGTGTAGGATATATAGTAATATTATATTATATTATTTATATATACTAATACTATATATATATATTATTTAACTTATATAGTTAGGACCCTCTTATATTATAATTATCTATAAACCTAGACGCTATTATTACTATTACTATTATTTAGCTCTCTTATACTACTACTATCTATATAAGGGGCATCTATAATAGATACTTTAGTTTATATTAGAGACTGCTATAATTTTAGGCCTTATACTCTAGAAGTATTTCTCTTATTACTATTACTTTTAGCCTTAACTTTAGTTATATAGTTATGCCTAGCCTTTATATTCCTAACGCGTGTATTCTTGTAAGTCTATATTAATAGAGTAGAATCTAAAGTCTTTATTAAAGAGTCTATAATAGTATAAGGTTAGTATTATTACGTGTCTAGTAGTGTATTATAGTTATCTTCTATAGGCGTGTTTTTATAAGTATCTAGAGTAGAATTATTTAGTTAGGCTAGTATACTATATAAATAGGTTTACTTTTATAGTCTTATATCTAGCTATACTAGTACTTGTTATAATCTAACACTACTAGCTAGGGGTACACTAACTATTAGGTTAGGATACTAACCCCTAAAAACGCTACTATTACTATCCTAGGTACCCTAGTCTTTAAAGCTAGTAATACTACTAGTATATTTAGATTAGGGTAGACGTTATCTTTATATATATTTAATAGGATAGGGTAATACTAGCTTACTTATAGCCTATAATAAGTCTTAGTTTAAATATTAGGGAGTGTTACTATAGAATCCTAACTAGGCTACTATATAGTTATAGTATATACCTAAACTACTATAAATAAAGTTAGATATTAGCTACTAGTATCTATATAGACCTCTATATATAATAGACCTCCCTAGGCTAGGGCCTTATAGGATAGTAAATGTTTAAGTAATTAGGGTAGTAATACTATTACCTAGTAAAGTATAATTATATATAATAGCTCCTTTATAATAGTAAGATTAGTATATTTAAAGAGGTAGATAATATACTTATATTTTAGTTTAGAGTATTAGTTCTTATTCCTATATATCTAGGTCTACTATATAAGCTATTTTAATACCTATACTCTATTAAAATATCTAAAAAATAGATACTTAGTAAGGACAGTGTCCTATATATTAGTCTACTTAGAGTTAGAAATATAGCTAAATAGTTAGTCTTAGATTATATTAAAGTATATATCTATAGCCTTGTAGATATACTTATTAAGGTTATTAATACCCTTCTTACTAACTATAAATATATAGATCTATAGGGCAAACACTTTAGGTGTATATATTACTACCCACACTGTAATTAGATTATTGCTTGCTAATTTTAGCTATAGGCAGATACTATATAGTTCTAGTATTTTGTATAAATAGGATCTTAAATCCTATATTAACTATAGGATAGTGTTAGGAATAAAGGTAGTGTTTATAGTAGATAAGGTTATACGTAAAGCTAATATATTATAAATATATTATTATAGATAGAAAGGGTATATTATTATATATAACTTGTATACTTGTTATATTATAACGTGCACTAGTGTTGTTACTATTGCTTATAATATATTATCTTTAGCTATATCTTTATACTAATATACTTCTATAATATAGTTATTAAATAATAAGTTATTATACTATAGTTATACTATATTAGTATAATAGAAGTATAGAGAGGGTATACTAATATATTGTATTATATACGTGTGTAAGGGGTTAATAATTAATTTAGAGTACACTAGATTATTATTATATAGATTTATATATATTACTATAATTATATTATTATTACTTATTATAACTAACGCTAATAAGTTATATTAGCTTACGTAGATTTATGCTATATCCTTTTATTCACCTACTCCTCTATATACTCAAGTATAATAGTTATATTAATAGAGTAAGATATAAATATCTAGGAATACACTCTTACTAACCTATATTAGCTACACGTAGTTTATGTTTACTAAAACGCAGTTATTATATAACCTAGATTAGTATATAAGTTATACTAGACTAGGAATTAACGTAGATTAATATAGTAACTATAACACTATTTAAGAGGATAATATTATAAGTTACTAAATTTAGGGGTAATAACCTATCTACTATACTATAGTATTCTAAAAGTAGGGTAATCTATCCTTTAAATACCCTATTAACTATATATTACACGTTAATATATTTTCCTAGGCTAGGTATAGAACTAATATATATTAGCTTAGGATAGAAAATAGGGCTATTATATATATTAGTTAACTACTATAAGATATAGTAGTCCCTACTATAGAAAGCCTAGTTATAGAAGAAGAGGCTCTTTATCTTTAACAGTACACTATTAAAGTTAAGATTATCTTTATAGAAGCTTTTATTTAATTTAGTATTAATAAACTTATAATAGATATATTATATATAAGAGTAACGTAATAGGATATATTAAATAAGTATATTATATAATTAAAGAATTACTCCTTCCTATATAGATAAATCTAGTAGTAACTAGATAACCTATATAAGGAGAAATAGATTACCCTCCTATATAGTATCCTGTAGAGAACTGCGTATCTATTATAATATAGCAAGTTTGTATCTTAGATAGTATATCTTATAGTATAAAGCCCTTTAATAGTAGATAGTAATAAGCTAACTATACTATTAATAGGCTATCTTACCTAGACTATACTAGTTAGACTAGCTTTCTTTTATATAGAATAGTAGCAATATAGTCTTATAGTAGCCTAGAAACCTTTCTTAGAATATCCTTAGTCTATAAGGCTAACTAAGGTATAAGGAGGAGAAACTAATACTAAGTAAGGATTTAAGTAGAGCATATTATCTAGGAGTAGCCTAAGCTAGTCCTACCTCTATTAGAAAGAGGTTAAAAGAGTCTCTATAACGCTTAAAAAGGCTACTATAAATAGTGTCTAACAACCCTAATTTACTAGCTTATACTTATTTATAGTAAGAAACCCCTTTAATTATATCTCTATTATAAAGTCTTAAGAGATAGCTAGGTAAAGAGAACCTCTACTACTAGCAAGTAAATATTACTAAATACTCTAAAGGAAAGAAAGACTATAAGTAATTAAGAATATAAGGTTATCCCCTAATACTATATAGAGATTAAGTTTAGGTAGTCTAGGCCCTACTACGCCTATAATAGTCTAATCTATACTAAGTAATACTAAAGATAAGTAGATAATCTATAGTTAGTAGACCTAAATAATTAGTCCTGTAGTCTAGGACTGCTACTAAAGAGAGGCTACTCTACTTTAACTCTAACTAACTCTGCCTGCTAGTTATAAGTGTAACTAGTATACTAGTATAATTAACTATTCTTTAATATACCTACCTATATACTTATAATTATAAACTACCACGCCCTTAATAAACTAAAAGACTATATACTACTACTACTAACACTACCTATTAGCTTTATTAAGGATAGGTATAACTCCTTAGCTCCTATAGGGGTATAATACAAGCGCTAGTTATACTATTATTTAGAAGCCTAAAGGTTATAATCCTTAGCCTTACTATAGTAGTAACTACTAACTACTAGTCCTAATTCTAGCTAAGATTACTAATTTAAAATCTATTAAATAACTAGTTAAGTAAAGTACTAAGTTTAGCTTAGGTCTAACTATCCTCTATAGAGACTGTAGATCCTTAGGAAGTATAGGTATATACTAACCTACTACTTATCTATTATATAAACTATAGGCTCTAGGAGCTTAGTAGATAGTACTAAGTATAACTACTACTAACTATAATAACTCTTATTATAGTATTTCTTAACTTAGAGGTGCTACTTATCTTAATAATATTAATAGAATAATAATATAGCGAAGGTACTACCTTATTACCTTAAGCGTAAGCACTTAATAGGGACGTCTCCCTAAGTAATATAAAGATAGAGAGACGCGTGTAGAGACGCGTGTATTACTATAACTACTTATTAGATAGACCTAAGCTAGTTTTAATAACTAGTACTACGCCTAGTATAGTATCCTTACGCTACTATAACCTAGCTAGTATCTAGTATATCTTAATCCCTTTAATACTAACTAACTTAATAAAATAACGTTAAGGGAATACTATAGGGACAAGAATAGCTAGTATAAAAC